TCAGGGGTTAGGGACAGGACGTTTAGTCCCAAGATAGCAAACGGGAGGTGGGGTACCTGTCAAGGGGCAGGGCTACCCTTGTGGCCCTCTGCAGATCACCAAAACTCATGAAGTGGCCCTCCAGCCAAGATAATTGCCCACCCCTGTTCTAGGCCCTTCTCAGCCTGAGATCATTTAGACCCTTATCTTCTAATGCCAAATGAACTCAGGCACTTTTCGTGTACAGACAGATGTGCAGCTCCCCACTGTAGCTGAGAAAGCTTTGCAGGGAGCATTCTGAGTTACAAGGATCCCCTGGACCAAACAAAAGTTCACTGTTGTTTCCGGGGGGGAAGCCTGCAGTTGGTTTCCTCTAGCAACAGCCCCTCCTCCCTGTGAGGATGCAAAGTTTTCAGAATGGGAGGGGGAAAGGGAGCAGAAGGAGCTCATTCTAGGGGTTCTGCAGCAGGTGCTGCAGGTTGGGGTGGGTGAACTGAAGCCCCCCCCCACACACACACACACCCCTGAAGGGGTTTCCAATACACCCCAACCTCCAGCAGGGGCAGAAAGACCCTTCAGACCAAACTCCTTCTGGTCCCTTTCCCCCTTCCCATTCTGAAAACAGCAACAGGCTGGCAGGCAGCACAGACAAAAGTTACAGAAGATGCTGTTCTAAAAATCTTCATCTGACCCTACATGCAGTGAGGGGTCAGATTTTCACCCAAATGGCCATTTTTAAGTAGTCTGCAGCCATGCACTTGTGTTTGGTTATGGCTATAGGCTGCTTCCTGTGGCCAGATTAGTCGAGGGTTGTCACTTTTGTCTGCCCCCTTAATTCTTTTGTGCCTTCTGGGGTAGGGCCTATCTGGATTGCTCTTTGGTTGCGCCTAGAGAACAAAAGTGGGTCTAGCCACAGCTTTCTTAGTTTGCTTTGAGCTCCAGTCACCGTAGGGCGTGCAACACCTTGTCCCATCAATGCCAACCAGCCTAGCCTGGAGTGTGAGTTAGTGCTGGAAGGAAAAGGGGAAGGTTTTCAAATGTGCTTAAATGCAGCTGCAGAATTAGAGCAAAAAATGTCAATAATACAAAGCGTTCCAACTGACTTCATTTCCTGCTGATAACTCCCTGAAGAGGAGGGTGAGGTTTGGAGCTTGCAGTGTTAGTTTACTGCTGAGGGGCGAGGCTAGGGGTAGAAGGAGAAGATATTTCAGGACACAGCAGGATGCTGGGTTCAGAAAGCAAGGTTCCCATATAAAATGCTGTTTGCACTTACTTCCTGTTAAATTGCCATTGTCAGAGAAGGGTTACAGGCACTGATGTGAGAACCCTACACAAAAACAGGATGTTGGCTTTTAGAGTCGATTAAACTAAGAAATGTAAATTCTCTTGTGGCCACACTCTCCTCTTTTCTTCAGTTGAGACTTAAATACTCTGGTGGGAACAAGGAAGGTTTAGAACTCAGCTTCTCTGTGCAAGTTTTGGGGAAAACTGGATTCCCTCTGCTACTTAATAACACCATTCCTGACAAGTGATGTGTATGCCACTAGCTAGCATATGTCATACACCCAGACTAACTAGTCTCCAAGTTATGCCCCTCAATTTCATGATTCTACAAATCCTAAATGAATGTCTTCAAAAGAACACAGGTTCAAAATCCACAGTACGGACAGACATCCATAACCCCTAGCCACCCACACTAACTGTCCACTCTCGCAAACACAGAATCCCAAATTATCTACCTTCATAGACACCCCCAATTAAATTATTACACAGATGTTCAAACCTGGGACTCAACCTCTGAAGGGGTACTTGGCAACATTTCCCCCATGTTTTGTTCACGTCTTCAGAAAAAGCACTAACATAGCTGGATGGGAATTGTCTGGGATGATCTTCACCTAGAGCAGAATGGCTCAGCTGGGAACCAAATGGACCACAAAAGCAGTGTTTTCTAACCCTCTGATGCAATTCCACTCTAAAGTCTAATTTAATGGCACATGTGGCAGCTAGATTTTTTTCTAATAAGTAGAACAGAAATAGAAACATTCTTTTCTATACACAAACATATCAAGCAGGCCCACAGACTCCACTGTACCCCCATAAACGGAGAAATGTGCACAAAGTTGCAGAAAGGCACATACTAGAAAATCCCATTCATCTACCCCTTCAGTCTGGCATGCACAAACATAAGTCTGGGAGGTATGCAATTTCTCTGTTCCCCTCTCTTGGATAGTCCAGACTGTTCTTACAAACTTTCTGTAAAAAGATTTTACAAAATTAAAGACTGTGGATAGTTTGGCTCAGATTTTTCTGGTGATTTCCAATCCAGACACTTCCATTTCAACAAGGAATTCTTGAACAAGCTCACACTTTGCATTTTTCTATCTTAAGACCTCAACATAAAGCATGTTTCTACATGTTCACAGTCTGCTTCTTAGTGAAAGAAAACCCCTAATTCTGGACCATGGCACTTAAGCTGTTCATTGGGTGTTTGTAGGAAATCCTGGAGAAGAGTGTATTTGTCTTATGGTACAACAACTTGTTGCAGGAATAAATACAGAAGTCAAAACAAGTGAAGGCATGAAACTGGGCAGCTGCAGCAGCCTTCACATTCATAATATGAGTAAAATGATATTATCTCTTGCCTAGCAGTTTCCTTTTTCATAAGTCTCTACAAAGAACTTCCACTCCCTGGCTTGCAAGTAATACTTGCAGTATATATCCCTTCTCAGAGCAAAAAACAATGATGCTGAAACAGAGGTACAACAGGATGGAGCAATCTTTGGAGAAGTGTGTTTGTGAAGGCCTGTGGGAGGCATCCCACACTTGAAAAGTACCCCACTGGAATCTCCAGTGGATGGAGTCTATCCCCAGAATAGATTTGACTCTGGTGGCAGAAATGTTCCTTCTCCCTTGTCCCTGGTTCCTCCAGCCTGTAGGGACCACTTCCAGGGGTAAGAGTGGGGAATGGGTCTCAGTATCTCAACATTCTTTTCAATTCTTGGTCTCTTTTCTGACACTTCCATTTGTAGCATTGATACATTGTTTACAATGGAGAAATAGAAGATAATGGGTTGTTTCACCAGCAAAAAGCCAGTCTTAAGAAAATCTCGGACCTGCCTTCCTACCCCTCTATTTATCCTTGAAGTAGAAAGTAATTTAGTTTTCTTTGTATGAAGAAACTAAAATATTTTAACACCATCAGAAAAATTCCCCTATTTAGGATGCAGCCCAATTCAGCTCTTTCTGTGGGAGAAGACATTGTCCCATAGACGCTCCTTTCTCCGACTTCAGCAATCGTTTTTTTAGTAATTCCACCAATCCCCAGTTCCCTGTACATGGGAAAGAGGAAGCAGTGTAACTCCTTATCCATAAAGTAGTTTATTTACTTATTCATAAAGAAACAGGTAATGCCCCATACCTTGTCGTACGGCAGGGCAGCCGGTAAATTGGTAGTCTCCAGTCACTAACTTGTCATTTTGTACAGGGCACCTGTCCTGTACTTTGATCAGCTGCTAGTATATTGCCAGATGGTTTGGGTTGGTTTGAAAATGATGAGTATTTGATCACATGTGTATCTAGGGTTTAAAATACTAATCCTTGTTGGCCGGTTGCTCCCTGACAGGACAGTGGGAGGTTATCATATACTGAAGTGCCGTGACTTGAAGGCTCAAATTAAGGAAGTCCTAAAATGGTATGTTATTGATCCATATAGCTATGCTTATTAAGGTAACTAATACCACCACTGTCCTGAGGCAGTTCAAGTTTAAATCCTGATCCCAGCTTTTTTTTTGTTTGTTTGTTTCCATAACCAGTAGAGGCTTGGGAAGACAGCAGCAGAAAAGTGAGCATCTCTTTCAGGAATTACTTTAATTCTCCCCTGCCTCAGAGACAGATAGGAAACAGTTCAAAGGACTGTGTCCCTTCCCAGCTGTAACTGAGGAAAGGGACTCAGCAGGAGACAAAAGAGGTGCTTCCAAACTCTCTCCTTGATTTTGGGAGGTGGGAATTCATGTTCTTGAGGAAGCATGTGCCTGATGGTTAGGCAGGAGATCACGGACTCTGTTCTGTTGGCGCTTGCTTGGTCTGAATGAAACGAGAAAGCTGAGCTAAAGTCTCTTGTAGTTTAATTTTTTCCCAAGCAAATCCTGTACATCTAACATAAAAAAAAAGCTTTACTACAACCAAAGCTTTAGTTTTCAGTGCTCAAGTATTTTCTGAGAAAGAAGTAGCATCAAGTCTAGATAGAGTAAAAAGAGCTGAAAGTGGAAAAACTCACTTCTTTTTCACCCTCAGCAATTTTAATCTCCCAGTGGAGCCATGTTTTTCCATGGTTATATAGTGGAGTCCTAAGGGGGTGGGGAGAATTCTCTACTACAAATTACAGTTGTTGATTATTTGTAAAACTGAAGCTTCTGTAGGCACTAATCATGGACCAGTATCCCATTGTGTTAGGTGCTATACAAACAGAAATAAAGTTATAATCTGAGATTCGCTTGTCTTCTGTGCCTCTGGCCTCTCCAAATCTCTTCCCCCCCCCCCCCCAACCCCAATGCCCCATGCTATCCATTAAAAGGTAAGAGCTTGAGGGAGGAGGAGAGAGAGAAGGAAAAGGAAAGACTGCAGCCATACAAATCCAGTGAGAAAGAAGAGAGCCAAATTAGAGACAAATGCAGGAGGTGGATAGACCCAAGAAAGACAGGAGACAGCCACTGCAAGCAGAGGGGAAAGAAGGGAAAACACAAGAAAAATAATAAGGCAAGGTTATGGGAAAGGAAGGTGTTAGGATTAGGGAGAAAAGAAAAAGAAAGGCAGGGAGACAGAGGAAATACACCCATGGTGTCTCCCCATGTGAATACAGCAGGAGAGTTTACTGCTCATTCTGATTTGCTCTTTTAAGCCCAGCACTTTGGGAAGGACAGTATCTGTTTAGATTTGTGTCTAAATTTAAACCCTGATTGCTTTGCCTCCCCCTCCACTCTCCACCCTCCCTTCCTCTCACCCACCCTCCCTCCTTCCTTGTTCACGGCGCAGGGCCACTCACTGGGCTCTGCAAGTTCTCAAGCTGAGTTGGGGCTCGGATACCATACGCTCCACACTGCAGCGGTGTGCTCTTGCTCTGGCTGGGCCGAATTTTTCCAAAGATAAGAGGGAGAGGGGTGGGGAAGAAAGGCTGCCCTGAGGACACCTCTCACATGCAGAACATGGAGGTAAAAACTTTTATTTCAGTAGCTGTGTGTTGCTTTGCTGATTTACTTGCTGCCAACAGGAAAGATCACAGAGTCGGCATTTGCTCCACCTCACATGACAGTTTCTCAGCAAGGGCAGCTCCAAATTTCATTTTGCTGAGTTACAAGATATAGTAGGGGCACTGCTCCCTGGCAGTAGAGCCCCTTGGAACTTTGGAAGGGTTTGCTCTGTGTTTTGGGGAGAAAAAATGTGGCTGGAAGGAGAAGGGAAGGAGTGACATTTATTTTTGAGCCCCTTCCCCCTTGAAGGGGGGAAAACAGTAAAGTTCAAGGGCTTGCATCATTTTAATAGGATTGAAAAACTTTTCCATAAAACTAGACACCCCATGAGAAGTTAACAAGTAGTGCAAGAGCTGCAGGCTTCATGGGGATAGTCCCTATTGTCCCTCTAAATTGTCCCTTATTACTTCAGACCCCAGCAGATCCTCCACGTCACGTGGATCTTATGCTCTCCCTTTCATTATCGATATTGGTGATTTTTGACTCAGGAAACAGAGGATACCTGGTAAAAAAATTCACATCATGTCCCTAAAAGCTTCTTGCACCTTTCTTCATGCCCCACACCTGGTACTGAGGAAAGGATGAAGCATGGTCTGGTGGCAGGAGTAGGAAGAGATAGATTAGGAGTGCTGTATTGTATTCCAAGCCCTGTCACTGACTGGTAGCATGACCTTGGCCACAGCATTTCACCTCTGCACCTCAGTCCCCATTTGTATGAAACAGGGAAGATGATGCTTTCCTAGCTCACAGGGCTGGTTTCACTAGAGCCCCAGAGGAAAAATTCTAGACAAGGGCAGAGTATTTATCGTTAAGTGCAGCATAAGAGGTTCAGATGTAACAAAAGGTTGCAACCACCACTGAAACCGGAAATGATGAAAGATAGCTTAAGAGAGCTTCTGACCTGTCTCTCTGCTAAATATGGGTCTTTCTAAATACTTTTTTCTATTCTTTTGGGGGAAATAAGCTCTGTGTTAGTCTGCAGCTCTAGGTTTTGAACAACACCAGTGCAGTGCATTCCTTAGGCACCACTCTTATTTTTCTTTAAAGTTACTGCAGTTTAGTTTAGGGACGCTGGTAACGCTCAGGTGCTATTCCAGACCCTGCATGTGCTGTGATACCATGAGGGATGATGGTCAGTAAACAGGAAGTCCTCAGCAGCCTATGCAGGGGCGCTCAAACCAACCCAAGATGGACTGTAGTAGGGGTTGCAGATCAAATGTTTTCAGAGAGGCTATCAGATTTGACAGAACTATCTTGGCTCATTAACTTTTTTTAAAGAGCGGTAGATAGCTGTGTTTAGTGAAGTCAGGCAGAACTGTGTTTAGGTAACTGTTAGGTTTTTTTATCATCTTTCAGTGTGCAGCATCCTGGAATGTCTCTAAGAAAGGGTTTCCTCAATAAAATTTTCTGGTCGGCTTCATAAAGCAACAAAAAAGAAAGTTTTTTATTCAGCTATGGCTTACAGGCTGTGAGGATGCTCAGCTGATGCATCAAGTCGGACATTCTTGAAATGCAAGGACTAAAAGAAAATCTAATTTAAAAAGTAGCTACTGTGCAGAAAGTTACATGCTGCTATAAGAGTGAATTAGAGCTGGAACAGACAAAGGGGCCATCCTTAACAGACTAGCTGAAGGCAATATCCTGAGGGATACCCAGCAGGGGTTTGTGGCGGGTAGGTCTTGC